ACACACACACACACACACACACACACACACACACACACACACACACATGAAGAATGCTGCACGCGGAGACACAAAGGCGCACACACAATAAGAAAAGGGCAGGCCAGGCAGAGAGGAGCAGAGGCAGAGGACCCAAAACAAGCATTCCTGACCACTGAGATCAACAACTCAATCAAACCAACCTGTTTATTTAGATAGTTTGGCATTCTCTTTTAGATGTAAAAGCAAATCATTAGCACTGATATATTATTCTTTGTTTTTGCATTTATCCTTTTAAGACAACAGCGAAACAGCCAACGCAGCCTGGGACATGCAGAGAGGACCAGACACCAGGCAGGCAGGATGGCAGAATTAATCCTTGATAGATCCCAATACAGGACAACCGCACATGAGCTAGTTTACCTTCCCCTTTGACTCTCCTCTTGATTCTGACTGATCTGGACTTGACTGCTTTCAGAGATGTAACTTTGGCTTCTTTCTGACCATCAGCTCTTGCTGTTTTCTTAACATCAGCTGTGGCTGATTTGTTTGGTTCAACTTTGACTGTTTTGTCAGTTTCATCCTTGACAACCTCACCTGCACACACACAGACACACAGCATAGACACATTCAGCATGAATAGAAAAAAAGAGAAAACAAAATACATTAATGTGATTTAAAAGGTGCTCTAAGTTAACGTTCACAGACTCAGGATGGTGGGCGCTTGTAGCAGGCGTGAGTGAAAAAATTCACAAGGTCAACACGGTATCTCAATGTCATGACATACCGTAAGCACAAAGTGAAACACACTTAATATAAGACACGCTCCTCCAGCACAAATTGGATTATGTGCTGGTTGAATAAAATTCAAGAAATTTGACATGCCATCTTCTATTTATCACATGAACCAGATACACTTGTCGCATGTGAATAAATATTGTTAATGTTGGGGCCATTTTAATTAAAAAGGGGAATCCAGGTATTTGACAACTTTGATTGTGAACATATTAATCACCACCTCAATTGTAGAAATTTGGGAAAACCTGGAATTTGGCATAATTGTCATTATAGAATAATATAGTGTAAAAATATTGGAGTAACATTCAGGTTGACACATTTCTTTGAGGTTAATCGTTTTGTCTTTGTTAAGACCTATTGCCTGAAAAACAAACTCACAAGCTTGATGGTATAAGTAGTACAGCAAAGGTTGCTGGAGGTCTGATGTTTGTACCCATCTGCCTCTCAAAACCCATACTTCCACTGTGTTGTTTTAATGTTTGATTCAAATGTACCCTGTGGAGATTTTGACCACTTATAGTTTGTGTTACTGTATGGTTTTACAGGTGGCTCCCCATTCTGTATGTGTATCCTGAACGTTCCATGTCAGCACGCACACGGGCAACCAGCAAGCAACGTAAACGATGTTGATTTCAAATTCTTCCAAAAATAGGCTTTGCAAATGTTTTATTGAGAAGAAAAATATTAATCTCATTTGTCAAGCTGCCAGTTCTTTTTTTAAAATGCTTGTCAGAGTGTCGTAAAGTTTCAGCTTCTAAAAAAAAAAAAACCCACAAGGTATCTTATGTCTTTAATGTACTATTTCCCTGCACGGTAGCATCTGACACAGTATGAAACACAGTACCATCGTTCTGGTTGGCAGTGGGAGTGAAGTAGAGCAGCTCCTCCAAGGGGTTGTCGTAGGCCTCGACGGAGTAGATGTGCTCGTAGTCTGGGTCGTTGGTGTTTACCACCACATGCAGCTCACGGCCTGAGAGAAATGTGACATCACACACGTCAGAGATCCTTCACCTACGTCTGACGACCTCCAAGCCTCAGATAGATGGAAGGCCCTGGACCATATTGGCACAACTCAGGAAGCCTCTAAATACAGGTGAGAATAGTCAGTGAGCCTATACACTAACATTTGTATTTGTCTGGATACGCCTATAGAATACATTATGTGGGACTTAACATAAATGGAGTCCTCTGTTTTCCTAATGAGAAAACCACCCAGTGATCAGAGGTCTCCAGGCCCAGCACCACCAAGTTAGACCTGTTTGTTAGGGACGAACACGCAGACAGACACACAGATCGAGGTCGACAAGCAGAGCAATGGACGGACACACTCACCCTCCTCACCCTTCACGACCAGTTGTTGCTCTGGTGCAGGCCGAGACCTGACCGGGGGCTGGGAACGATTTACTGGGCCTGAACCTGAGAGAACCAGATAGGACGGGGAGGAGCGAAAAGGGACACCGAGGGAGCGGAGACAGGATTTAGAGAGCGAAAGGGACCGGGTAAGTGTTAGAAAAGGGGGACCGGAAAGGTAACATGATGGAAAAAAAAAAAAGAAGGACAGAACATTCTGGTAGTAAAACGTTCAGATACATGAGCCAACAACAAAAACAACAACCCCAAAGCACCACAAAAATCATTCCACCGTTCCAACATACACACCAGCTGAAAGGAGTTTTTGCAAGACTGGTCACCATGAGGCAATCTTCTAAAGACTGGTTGTGATCCTTTAAGGACTCAAGTCGCTGCTGTATGGACTTTTGTCTTACTCGAGTCACATTTTTAAAACATTATGAAATGCATAACTACTTCTTAGGTAATGAAAATAAATTAAACATCAGTTATCAGTAACACTGCATATTTAGTAACTGCTGCTTCACAACTCTGATGAAGACTTACAATGATTAACATTTCACAAGTTAAAACATTGGGGAAAGTTGATCATTTTGAGTTTTTTTGGAATTGTCTTTTAATTAATTCATTTTGAAACATTTAATGCCATCTATTCTCAGTGATTGGAGAAAGTACGTTGTTTAGTCCAACATGTTCATATAATAATGGTAGGTAATGTAACTATCTTATTTTTGTGTGCATGAGGTTAAATGATCATTTAAACCACACACAAATGCCTAATAAGGGAAAATGCCCTAAAGCATTCTCGAAATATATACATGCGACTGACTGCTCTCACTACTCTGCAGCAGTATTTGTGGTATAGTGTACCGCTGTGACTCATGCTAAATCACAGCCCTTCTGTCCACCCTTCTCTCTTCTGCTGCAGCCGAATGGCTCACTCACCTCCACACGCTGAGGATCAGACAGATGGACAGGAAGGAAGCAGAAACAGAGGGAATAAAAAATGATCAGTTTCAAGAACCATGGCATTGTTGTAGTTCTCTGCAGCTTCTTATGTATCATACTTTCAAAAAGTTTAGCTGAAGCTGTGACTCATATGCTGTGATTACCATCTGAAGTTCAACTTGGGGACAACTCCGTTATAAATTAGCAATGCAAGCTGCATGAAAGACTCACCACAGTGCTGACTCATCTCTGTGCGAACGTACGCCCTGACCTCATACTCCTGAATTCAAAACAAAGAGGGGGAACAGAGCAAAAATAAGAAAAACACACTTACAAACACAACCCTAATATCAGCTCTGTGTAAGTGTGTGTGTGCTGTTTGATGTCCACATCTTCAAATTGAACCCTACGGTAAGGCTGAAGCACTGACCGTCATGCCTGGCTCTCCTCTGTCTCCCTTGGCTCCATCTGGTCCGAATTCTCCCTGCAACATGGACACACATTAGGACACACGACCCACAGAGGGGCCTGCAGCACAATAATTCATTAAGCTGAGACCAGGTGCAGCACATGAACTAAATGCAAAGTCAAAGTGAAAGATCGGCCATTGTGACTTTTACAGATACATAAATATATGGGACCCCTTTTGAGGAACCAAAAATTCATATAAAGCTGGGAAGCGTTAATAAAATATGGTTGTCATTTTTAAGTAACCAGTTTTGGTTGAAACTAATTAACTGTATAAGCGATGAGGAAATTGGCACACTGTGGAAAGAGTAATACTGGAATTCAACAAGTAATTCAGTGCGGTAATATTTTCAAATGTTTTTGATAAGGGTACCAAGAATTCTTTCTGACCTCTACAAATTGTTTCCTATCAAAGATGACAACCAGGAGACAAGTGTGACACTAACCGCTTCTCCTCGCTCCCCCGAGATCCCTGGGATACCGCGTGGACCAACCACGGCGGGACCGATTGGACCTCTCTCTCCCTGACAGAGGTAAAACAACATTACAACATACAGCATGTCTGCAGTAGACAGGTGTAGTAAACCTTACAATGCAAGTAACAATCTTTACATACATAATATCGGGACAGGTGGTCTTTGCCTGCATAGCTTCAGTGAAAACAAAGACAGATAACTGTTTCTAGTCCAGTGATATCTATTCTCCAAATAAGCTGCTACTGTACTCATACTGTACTGTACTTCATTCCACACACAATGTGCAAAAGGGATTTTACTATGATGCAGACATCAAAGCTACTTTTTACAGTATGTTTACAGTCTTTTTGCATTTGTGTTTATTGCTTTTCCATCATATTAACAGATCAGATGCTGAGACTTCCTTTCAGCCTGCACCAAAGCAAAAATATTGGTTTCGGAAAATAATGCAACTGGGTTGACTAAAGGGAGTGTCTCAGTTTGAAAAAAAAGGTGAGCCCATCAAAGAGACTCGATATGGCCCTGCTCTCCTTTCACCGGCTTTCTTTCTTTCTTTGTTGATGCAGCAGACAAGCCAGTCGTATGCCGGGCCCATCAAACTGTCAATCATTATCATGAAGCAATTCACAGAAATCAAACAAAATGAGCAGTCAGGTAAAAAAAGAAACAGGAGAACAAACTAGGGAGAAAAACAAAAGACAGTATTCTTTTTATAGAAGTCGTACATCATATTCTTGTCATATACTGTCAAAACCAAAATTTTTTATCTTTGTTGCCACTCACACATCTCTGACTTCTGCTCTTTTGTGCACTCGCACAGTAGAGCAATTGACACGTTAGTCTATTTTTGCTTCCATTACACATTATTTTTCTTTGCTAGATTGCCAAGAAATGTGTGCACAGTCATACTTGATGGTGCACCCATTAGCTGGTGTAACAAAGGCTTGTTGAATTGTCATTATGTCCTATCTCGTCTCTTTAATAGACATCTGCCTCCTTAAAGTGGAGAAGCGCGGAACTAGCCACTATCAAGCCACATTAAGGATAGTCACCTTCTGTCCCTGGAGCCCCTCTGGGCCTTTAGCACCAGCTGGGCCCTGAGTGCCACTCAGGCCCGAGACCCCATCCACTCCTCTGGGGCCAGGAGGACCAGGTACGCCAGACGGACCCTGCATGAGGCACAGAGACAGTTAATTATGAATCTAAAGGTTTCCTGTATGTAGCTCTGAGGATGAGCCATGTTGTGTTTCTGACTGTACATACATATTATGGAGATTAGGTACAGCATGTAAGCTCACACTGTACTGCTGAGTTAGAAACTCACCCTTTCACCTTTCTCTCCCTGAGTTCCTTTGGGTCCTGCAAGGCCGTCAAATCCACGGTCACCCTACAAAGTCAGAGAAAAGTGGTAACACTCTATATTGGACACATTTATAGTTGATTTCAAGAAAAGTTAGACAACACATACCTTGGCACCGACTAGTCCCTCTTTTCCAGGGGTCCCTGGGGCCCCAGAAGGTCCAAGTTCCCCCTGGAAAACACAGAGAGCATGCCTGTAAACGAGTCTTAAGAGCACACACGAGGCATATAATAGAGCACAGCGTGTCTGTTTGATGTTACTCATACCTGTTCCCCTTTTCTTCCAGGTAGGCCTGATCTTCCATGAATACCACCATCCCCCTGAACACAAACACTCAGATTCATTCAATTTTCAAAGTACTTACCACACAGTACTCGACTCATACATGTCTAACTCATAACTTATTAAAAAGGTACTACGAGGAGCTTTCATTTTGTGTTGATTTGACAGTCCCTGTGGACAAAAGCACCAGAGACTGCAGGTCGCAGGCGTTTGCAAAGCTGGGTCTGGGTCTGTCCACAATGGACTCAACGGCCCGCTGGCGTCTGAGCTAAAGGAGTTTCTGGTGAACCTGCGTGCTGTAAATCATTTCGTCTGATTTTAAGACCCGATGACAGGCATTAAGAATAACGTATAATGACACCTACGGATGCACCAATCCAAATTATTCAGTCCAGATATTGATAAAGATACCTGGGCTTTGGGTACTGGCCGATATAGAGTACCCATCAGATACCAGTATTTAATTAATAAGCTGTATGCCCAGTGACTGGGCCCATTCTTTCATGTGTGAGGCAATTATTATTATTCATTGATACATTGACTGAATTGTTATTAATTACAATAAAGTTATTCAATGTCAGAAATGGCCCATTTGTCACCAAAACCTGATCCAGCTATCAGTACTGATCTCCGTTATTGGTTTCGGTATCGCTGCATCTCTAATCGCCACAAAAAGAAACAACATCTAGCTTCACAGACCACAAGCTATTACTGAGATGTTAAATTCTTGGTTCATTATTGGGACAGAATAAGTACCCAGTGTCAAAATACCATTGGGTGGGAAATTATCACGATACAATTTCTTCATTCATGCTTATTTCCTCCCCCCTTTCTCCCCCTAAATCAGATATGTCTTGATCCCACCTTGTCTCCTTTTGGTCCATCACTTCCACAAGCCCCCTTGGGTCCTCGGTCACCCTGGAAACACATACGTTCATCATTGACAGAGGCACATGAAGAAGCTTGTGAGTGACAAACGGACAAGATGCTCTAAACCAGTCAGACAGAGTCCATCCATTGATCTATTGTCCTTTTACCTGCCGCTCGGGCTGAATCATTGTGCAGGAGCACTTACACGTACAGTGAACATGATCCAGCTTGTCCAGCAACTTCCAAACAGCACAAATATGATGCAGAATCTGATAATGGATGTTGTTACAAGTGGCAAAACAGCAGCAGAGGACTGGCCGATGTTGTCTGGTACAGTCGTGCTACATCCACATGTTCATTTGATAGCACACGGTATTATCTTCAAATGCACACAGACAGACTTACAGGAAGTTTTCAACCCAGTTTTTTCTTTGGAGACTTAAAAAGTTGGCTAGGAATTTTTAGTAGGAGTCTTACAATTGCACAAACGTATAATTTAGCAAATGGCACAGTAATTAAAGATAAAAAATGTGTAAACCATCATATCTGTATCCAACTATTTAGATGCATATATCCTGCACTCCCACATTGTTCATTCTACCTTACTATTCATTGTACTATGTGGAAAAAGTAGGCTGGTCCTCAACGTACACACTATCATTCTTGTTCATAAATGTATCCTACTAAAGCTGCGTCACTATCGCACACCTCTTCTCAGTAAAAACAACTGTTCACAAAAACAAACAGCCAGGGCGGGTTAGTACCAGTGATTTCCACCATGAAAATAGTATGAATCTTTTGAGTAACATTTTGACATTTTGGGAAAGCCAGTGAACTGAGAAGATCAATATTACTCTCATCTGAAGCTACTGCCAGCAGTCGTTTAGCTTAGTAACAGATAGCCCAGCTCAGCCTAAAGGTAACAGCCCCTGTAAAGCTCACAAATTAACATGTACTATCAAACACATTGTATAAAAACGTCAATTCATCGCTTTACGGAGCGTTATGTGCATGACTGTTTCTTGGCCAGGACCAGTTGCCAGGCCCCCGAGGAGTCTTCAGGAACTAAATGGTCCAGCACAAGAAATAGCCTGGCACATAAAAAACGGTTAATTGTGGTTATTATACTTGTCATTATACTTTTGTACGAATAATTGTACGTTGGATTTTGTTAACAGTGGGCAGAGCCAAGCTAGCTTTATTTCCCCAAATGTCAAAATATTCCTTCAAAGCTTCAACGTCTCATCCCACTGAGCAATTTTAAACTTTGTGCCTTTTTAGAGAGGTCTATGATTGCTTCTGATGCAGTTTGTAGGTATATACTTGTGTGTGACTGGCTGCATTTGTTGTATGTCTTCTCTCTGTACTTTCTCTCTTTTTTTTTATCTCAATGAGATAACCTGATAAAGGTTATTATAATAAAAAAATTTAAAAAAATAGCTTGCCTCCACACATCTGAATCGTCGCCCAAATCTTTGATTGGTTCAGTGATTAAAATATAATTCAAATGAATAGATTAAGTGAAAGAAAAACGGGCATTAGTTCTATCAGGCTGAGCAAAATCCCTATTTCCGGCTGTTAATAATCATAGTGACAGGGTGAAAGCAAATATTCTGCATGGATATCTTTAATTTAATCCTGTGCAATCATATTCATTTTATGTTAGTATTGAGTTGTTACTGTTATCACTGACTCCTGAAAGGTGCTTGAACGTTGAAACAACACAGAATGAACAAACAACATCTCAAGCACACAGACTCAAAGAAAATACCTTGATTCCTCTCATTCCTACAACACCAAGCTCTCCCTTCTCCCCCGTCTGCCCTGGCATCCCGTCTTTTCCTCGGAAACCCTTAAAGAGAGAACAGAAAACATCCCTCGGTCTGTCCACCAAAGAGATAAAACCACACACAGAAAATGCTAAATCTTCATTTGGACGGAATTAAAATCACAGACCGATTCACCAGGTACTCCAGGTTGGCCGGCTTCTCCCTGCAGGGAGACAACAGACTTATAGTGATTAGAGCAGTCAAATTACTACGTGTACCGACTACTGACTGGCTTTGCTATTGATTCTGACACGGATTTAATCACAACAATCATCCATGCTCAGCATTACTCACCTTTTGTCCACCAGGGCCACGGGCACCCGGGAATCCAATGGATCCTCTTTCTCCCGGCTCTCCCCGCAGACCCTGATGTCAAATACACACATACACAGAAATATGCATATCGATCATTTATAATATCAATATGGTGGCCTCTTTGTTGCTGCAACATAAGAATATTGTTTAGGGTGAATCATATTTCTGAGTTAAATAATCAATTGATGCGCCTGCTAGGCCATCAGATCCACATTACTGATGATAATATATCATCAACCACTAGTTCAGATCAAATTCTGTTAAGAGGCAAACTAACTATAAATCAGAGACAACTACTCAAATAGGCCATTAAGATAATTCATTGACAACTATTTTGATTTTGAGCAAAAATGCTGATTTCAGGCGTCTAAATGCAACAAATCCTTCAGCTTTTCTCTGCTTCATCTCTGAAGCTGGTTGGATGGATTTTTGCAAATTAGGGAGGACACTTTTCTTCACCAAATAATTAGTCAATTCATCAAAAAAACAAAACAATTAATGTATAACTCAAATGATCATTAGTAGCAGCCATAAGACCATCACATATACGTTCGGACAAGAAACACATTTACCTGCTCCCCCAGAGGGCCCTCTTGACCTTTCACCCCTTTTTCCCCCAGCACACCTTTGGGTCCCCTGTCACCCTAAAATGAAACAATAGTGACATCCACAACAAGCAAAAACCAAACCATACACTATAAGAACAAACAAGGATATCTTATTATATTCAACATTTGGACACATCCAGGTGTTCACTGACTGTTTCTCCTTTGTTGCCATGTTCTCCAGCAGGTCCTCCCACCAGCACAGTGTCCCCCTGTGAGTGACAGTACGGCTGTAAACATCTGGCTTCTCCCCAAAAGCCAAAACATCAACAAACCATGTTTCATCCTGTAACCTTTTCTTAGGCGGTGTCACTTTTAGTATCGTAGCTTATTAACATTGTGTGTATTCATATATTCCTCCTGCTCTCTCATGAAAGAGCTCTTTCAAAACAGCCACTGCCGACACAATCTGTCTTATATTCCTCTTTATCCATTTTTGTGTCAGAAAGAGAGCGAGAGTGAGAGAGAGAGAGAGAGAGAGAGAGAGAGAGAGAGTGAGAGTGAGAGCGAGAGAGCGCGCAGTGGTGGAGCTCATTAGATAATAAAATGTACACACCTTCTCTCCTTTGTCACCTTGCAGCCCGATGTCCCCCTGAAGAAAATAAAATAGATTGAGAGCAAAACATTTCATTCAGGCGTGTCAAATGAATTCCCCATTTTACACGAGCAAAGGACTCGAGGGAGGACACAGCTCGCATGATGACATGAAAATGGGAAAAGGCCTGGTAGTATTCACCTTCTCTCCCCAAGCACCACGATTCCCTGGTGAACCCTGATAAACACACAAACACACATACTGGTTTATTATATTCTGGTCCACACATAAAAGCCACTATGCATGTTTTTAACTCAGGGCCATGTTTACCTGGGTCAGACAACAAAACTTAAATCCCAATAATATCATGACCCCTCAGGCTGTACAGTTAGATTAAAGGGTGAGCACAGGTTGATCTTGTTTTAAAATGATGGGTGCTGCAACACTGTGAGGGAGGACAAGGCCTGTTGAATAATTAGTTTACGATCCAATACATTGTGTCCTTGTGAAGAACAGCTCTTCTATCATAACAATGAAGATTTATGCCTGCGTTTTCCCCTTTGTGTCTGCATACATACAGCCTTCTGGTGAATTAAGCATTTTGTAAAGCACAACACTAAAAGACAAGTTCAAAGCTTGAGGAGTGTCCATATAGTGTTTTTTCAATTTCAGAAAGCACTAGCAGGGCACCGGAGGGACGACACCATCGTCTTTCAGAGATTTTCAACAGGAAGCATTAGGAACTGCCGCACACAAAAGTTGAAGTGCTCTTAAAAAATACGATGCTGGGTGCAACGCTTCTTGGCTCGGCAGCCACACGCAGCCGCATATGCTCTCTCCTCATTTGGAACAATTGCAAATAGACGCTGGCGCTCAGAAAAAAAACATTATATTGTTGCTTGTTGGCACAACTTTGTTAGTGTATGTTGAGTTACTGAGGGATGGATATAAAAGTTGTCACATGGTATTTACCGTTGGCCCTCTCTCCCCATCCAAGCCAGCCCGGCCCTCCTCTCCCTAAGACATGACATACAGAAAAAGGCACACAAACAAACCAGTTGTTATTATCCAGACTCATAATAGATCAAATCTTCAATGAAACACTGATGTCACGGATGTCTTACTCTCAGCCCTGATTCTCCTCTCTCTCCTCTGGGACCAGGGATTCCGACACCAACCTCCCCCTGGCAACAGAAATAATATATACACCCTTCAAAAAAAGCCATTAACATTCAAGCAGGGAGACAGAAATATGTGTCGCTTGGATAGTCACCTTGTCCCCTTTGAACCCGTTGGTACCAGGAGAGCCCTATAAAGTATGAATCGTAAAGATTTATGAATCTTTTACGATAAAAAGCACACAATGCACACATAATTCATCACTCATCTGTGTGTTTGTCGATTTCCCTTTCTCTCTCAGACCTTTAACTTTTTTTTAAAAATAGATTTTTACGTAGTAATAAAAACAAGATCTAAACTCACTGCCTGTCCAGGAGGACCAGCGGGACCAGGGGGTCCGACATTTCCTGCACGGCCTGCAAAGCCCTGGAGACCCTGGAAATGAGACCTCAGTAATTGAAAACCAACCACATATATTAAGAGAAAGAAAATACAGTTTTGTGTAATAAGCAGCTCCACCAACCCTCTCCCCTTGTGGTCCAGCAGGTCCTAGTTGTCCAGTTTCTCCTCTCAGGCCAGGCTGTCCAGCATCACCTGACTTCCCCTGTAGCCCTGGAGGACCAGCTGAACCAGGAAGGCCTGGATCTCCCTGAAATGAAGTCAGAGTTAGATTTTGACCTATCTCACATCTGATAGATCACTTTTACTGATTAGAGAGGTAGGTAAAAACATACAGTAGATCATCCTATGTTGCACCACATGCTGTTACTCACCTTTAAGCCTTGAGGCCCAACCCGACCAGGAGGACCTAGCTGTCCGATGCCCTTCTCTCCCTGCAACACACATTTCGTCATAACTGTCACTTGGATTGGTTTTGATTTCAGGCAAATTAATAACAACCCATGACAGAAAGCTTACCTTATCTCCTTTTGGCCCTGAAGATCCCTGTGACCCCTGCATGAAAGACAAATGTCAGATGTGAAAATAAGAGCTATTGACTGTGGATTCTTTTAAGACCCATATCAATAATACCTTACTGGAAAGAAAGCAGACAAATGTAAACCATTGCTTTTTTCATATTAACAACAATAACAATAATAATAATAATAATAATAATAATAATAATAATAATAATAATAATAATAATGATGAAGCACAGTTGCAGTTTGTTTTAACAGTGTAACACATTTCTGCATGCCCCCCAAATATCTGTTTGGCATTCATTATTATGCTGGTGAAGACACGTTCCATCAGCTTTAGTGTGTACTGTCAGTGGCTTGGTTGTCATTACACTTAACATGCCTCGTTAACCTCAAATAATCAAAACATTGAGCATCAGAGGAGATTTGTCACAATTACAACTGACACTTTGAGATAGGAGGTCTAGAGACTTTAATAACACTGCTGTAGGTAGAAAAAAATGGTTGATCAAGGTTAGATTAAATAATTGGACTGACCTTGAAGAGAAACCATTTGGCATAAAGAATCCTTGCTTTACATGTGTGGCAAAATCTGCATACATTTACCAGCATCACTACATATTTCCTGCACCCTTGTTTGATTTCTGGATAACAGAAATGCCTAAAACATGGGTTTAAGTAGGATGTGATTACATAATGAGGATGATCAACATGTCCAATTTGGAGCTGATTATTGCAGCCGATTATGCTAACAGCCCTGGATTAACACAGTGTGGTGCCCTAGGGTGACCACACTCCAAGTGTGTAAATTAAGTCTTTAATGTAAAATGTTGATTTTGACCACTTGCCATCCAAGTATATTTTTCATCGTGGCTATGTGCCGTGATTGTTTTTCTTTTTTTCTAGCAACATCTGCTTAGCTGATGCCAGTTCATTTTGAATTTGTTAACAAATACTTTAAAAGTCTAGTCTTTGTCTTAATCATTTGGTGCCCCCAGGCACTCGCCTGGTTCCATATTATCCGTCCCATCGTGCTATATAGCAATATGCTGCATTTGATCATATTAGTATAAAAGTCTAAGCTGGATGTAGTTGAGTAGTTACTCACATCGTTATGGTAAAAATGTTTACCTTAAATTACACACTACTAATGGTAGTGTAATGGTGGCATTTAACCTTCACTAATAGATGAAAGCATTAGACCTTTGGGAACAATTTGAAGCTATACGCAAATAACAAAAAACACATTCAGTAATACAACACGTGAGAGAAAAGAAAAGAAATCCAGAAAACAAACGGTGGCTGTGGAAGAACTTACATCTTCTCCAGGCTCTCCTGGCTCACCATCCACTCCCTATGAAGACAGATAACATGATGTGAAAATGTGATGTTAACTTTATGAATATTTGTTTCCGTGCAGCGTGATGTCACTCACTCTCTCTCCTTTGTTGGCAGCAGCTCCTTTGTCTCCCCTGTTACCCTGAAAGACAGCAGTTATTAGTGATCGGCATCAATGAAAAAGCGCTCGATATTTTCACACTGTCTTGCGGCACCGGCTAAGAGTGAGCCTTCAGTCGAAATGCTTTAGGCAGACTCACCTTTTCTCCAGCTAGACCTCTCTCTCCAGTTGTGCCTGGGAGTGTTTGACCACTAAGACCCTGCATCAATCATAACCAGGAAAGTGATGTCATTCAGTTGCTCTGTTCTGCTTCTTCATTTACAAACTTTTAGTCTTCTCATTTCCGGACTAAGCTGCATTAGTTGAGTATGTCACAGAATTAAAGAAAGGTTCAAGTAGCTACTTCCTCATTAATGCCATTAACAGTGACTCACCCTCTCTCCTTTGGGTCCAGGGGTTCCAGCCACAACCTTTAACAGTGCAGAAAAATGGAGAAAATAATAGCAATTACTTGTGCAGCATGGTATGGTTTCTTGTATAAAAATAGGTATATGTGTACTTCAAAGCCTTGGTATTACATTAGCCATTAGCCTTTCCAGCTCTCAAACATTAAGAGCCTTAATGGCAAGCACAGGTAGTAAATGCACAACTCCTATGGCTTAAACATTGCACTATACCACAAGTGAAAGTGTTTGGCAGCCTATACTTTTCTTCTCTGTGGGAGGCAATGGTCTTACAACAAACAACAACAACAACAACAACTTGTTTAAGATATGCACGTATTGTGCTAATAATATGCCTATTCAATTGTAATTGACATTCAAGGAACAATCTGAGGAGAGCTACTTTGTGATCAAATGCTGTGTCTTTTTTTCTGTGTCCTTAAATCTTTTCGGCTCTATCTTGACAGAATGACAACTTCCAGCTAAGTTGTCTGGGTCAAGAATGAGCGAATGAAGCAAAAAGGAAGCTCTGGTTCTTGCACTCAGAAGGTCTGAAACCAATTTAGAAAGCTTTACATGTGACTGTTATCAAAGTTCATTGCAACTGTGGAGCTGGAAAATGCGATGTCACTTGTGTGTGTGTGTGTGTGTGTGTGTGTGTGTGTGTGTGTGTGTGTGTGAACAAATGGTGGAGCTGCTGAGCAAATGGGCAAGCGTTGCCTTGTAATTCATCAAACTAGTGAACTCACTGGCAGTGTCACCATGGCTCTGTCCAGGGTGCTGAACCTCAGCAGTGAGGGAGCTGCTCGAGAAACTCATCACGATTCATGCCCACATTACAAACAGCAGGAATGGCTGCGACTACAGAGTGCGTGACAATCAAGCTCCATCTTCCTTTTTTTACCAGCAGAGAGAAAGCCACACAAAAAGCTACTCTAGTGTATGAGCTACCTGCTTCCATACATTTGATAAAACACCCCGTTGTGTTCTTCCTGAACATTGTCAGGAAGAAAAGGGGTTGGAGGAAAACGCACTAGTGGAAACAATACAGGAATGAGAGAAATAACTCATTTCAGTAGAATACTAATTTATTTTCACATCACAGAAAATAGGTGCACGTTGTTGTTTTTGTTGTTGTTGTTGTTGCTGTGGATGACCAACCCCTCTCTGTGGTTGAATGAACATGGGCTTTGGATGCTTAACTGAACAGCTAAAGCCTCTCTAAATACTGCCAAATGGACATTACATCTCTAACACAATTGTTCCACATCTGTACAAGCGAGACACCGTTTTCTATTGAAATGCTTAGAAATAAATTGCAGTTTGGAGTTAATAGCAAGTAAATGTGTGTGCTAATACATATCATTATGATATCTGGCAGCAACCCTAACAGACTCAAGTTATGCATTATAATAAGCTGCGCTCGAGGCTAAAAAGTTTGATTGTTCCGTACTCGGACAAGGGGGAATCTGCACCACAGTGTAATAATATTGATATTGTAAGCAAACAAGTTGTATTGAGCCATGTTGGATAGAAGGTGAAGAACAGAGATGATTTTGACTCTATGTGATAATGTGGTGAGCCCTGCAGAGAGAAAGTTATGAACGCATGTGACCTTCTCTGTCATTTTCAGTCTCACTGAGCTGAAATGTGGCTTAATTGAGATCCTCATCATCAGAATTGGCCCAGACCTTGTCACGACAAGCCAATCCCTATTAACAGATGTCTGCAGTCATTCAAATATAGAGAACTGGCATGCAATAATATTTCAGTGTGAGTGGTAAGGTAGTTTCCATGTGAAGACCAAGTGGAGCTGACAAATTACGGTTGAGCAAAAGTGTCTTTCTAGAGAGAAATATTAAATTCAAGCAATAATGGGAGCAGCTACATTAGAACATCTGGTTTACTCTAATTTGCCAATTCCTATAAGAGGCTTATTATGCACGATAGTGAATGATAAGATGATGAGCTCTTAGAACTATAAGGGCACAATATATCTGTCAAGGCTCTTTTTCTTGTTATATCTAAAGATATATTCTGTATATTCTAATCCAGATCAGCTTTTGCCACTTGCTGGTAATAGAACACTCATCCAACAGCCAATTATGCAAAAGTGTATGCAAGGATTTAGCTGAAATTCACGTTCATGGTTGGTTCTTCTATTATTTTTAGAGTGGGAGGCACTTCAGGCCTCCACAGGGGTTTTCCTCATTTAGCTACATTTCTGCAAGAAACTCCAGGGCTGTATTGCAGCAGATAATATAGACATGTGAGGGTAGTGTGAACATAAGAAAGAGTGACTAAATATGTTCCTGACATATGGAAACTCATTATACAGGTGAGCAGGTGCCAGAGAATTTTCTCTGTGAATGTCAATCAATAACAGTCGTATAACAGAAAGAGCCCACTGAGAGAACTTGCAAGGGAAGATGGAGCTCTTGTTTTTCTGCCTTAGCCAAGCTCAAAATACCCAGGATTACACTGGCTATTTGGTATTACAGAGGGTAGTTCACTCAAAAAAATAAAATAAAAAATACTCAGATCTTTTCTCACTTTGCCCAGATAGGTAGAGGTAGCAGTTTTACCACCACAGAGCGCTTTGGACACATTTGAACCCACAACTAATCATCTCCTAAGTTATAGGTAGTAGCCGACCCCCTTCTTTGCATATCTAAACGCAAAATGAGAAACTGATGAGAGCAGGTTATCTGGTGAACCTTCATCAAACTACGAGGTTCTTATGCTTCATATTGCTAAGTAGAGCGCAGTTTCTGGATTTAACGACCCTTAAACACCCTCAATTTCTGCCTTGCCCATTGTATTGACTTTAACTACAGGCTACTGACAGATCCCCTCATCAATAGAGAATGTCTATATATTCTGATGTCTTCTGTTTGAGAGCCGTTTGGAGCGCTCGTCTCCTTCCTCTCCCTACAGCCCCATGGCTCACACTGCTGCAGCCTACTCGGAGATATCACAGTTACAATATCAGTTTATAGAGACAGCTAGCAGCAGCATATAACCAGCTAACAGTGGGACTCCCGGACAACATTAAGTTGTGTACAAATTGTAGGGGAATGTCTCTGAAGCACGATTTGGGTTAGAGTCAGCCCCAGCCCCAGGTGGACAAACAACAGCCTCCCAACCACGACCCTTGAAGGAAGACTCAGAATAGGCATCAGATGAAAACTCGCACAGTTGGAAGCCAATAATAGCCCTACAGAAATGATTTTTTTTTATCACTTCAGGCAGCAAATCATTCTGTAGCTGGGATCACATCCAA